TAGGGAAAGCAGCATTAAAAGAACCAAGGCACGTAAAAGTGTTGTTTTGCTTGAGAAGGGGAGGCCGGGTTAAATAACCTATGGGCCAGCTGACATATTTTCCCATTTCCTTGGAAGACGTGAACTAGAACCCTCTTAAGAATATGCCACTGCTTGATGGGAGAGCTGCGTCACCGTGACGAGGAAGCACTGACAAGGCAGCCGTGGCTTCTATCTCGCCCAGACATCACTGTAACGCTGCAACGGGAAAGCCCGTCTGCTAACAGGTATTTTGTTTAGCAGCGACAGGCTGTTGCACAGCACCGAGCTCCGTTCCGCACAATCGGCCCCGCTGCAGCTAGCTTTGAGCCTCGCCTCCCTCCCACAATCGTAACGCGTCAAGCGAGAGAAGAGATACTTGCATAAAAGCGGGCGTGGGACACATCTGAAGGCACTGCTACGTTGTAAGGCCCAACTGCTTTATACAGGCATCGGCTACGTCGCACCAGAACTCCCTGTGGCCATATTGTGTTTTCTGACCAGCTGCGGGGAAAGAATGCCCGAGCGTTAGCATCTGCGCTCCCAGCTCCCTGAACGTGGGTTCACAGGAACAGACTGCGTCTGGAAAAAATTCCAAAGCCTCTGCCACAAGGACACGTCCCAGCTCCCACTGGACAAGCACAGAGAGGTGATCACAAGTCCACCGGACGGACTCTGACGGAGTAATGTGAACAAACGGCTCCCAGCGCAAGAACCTAGCCCGCTGCATTGGAGGGGGCCACCCCCGCCCCTGCACAAGCTACTTCTCCAGTGGCCAAGAAGATCTCAGCATTTTTTTTTTCCTGGGAAGGAACCACCAGTGGCCTCAGGAGCTCAGACAGCTCTCTAGAGCAGATATTTCTATTTCGAGGGAACAGAAAGACCAGCGGAGTTGCACCTGTGACCCCCGGCATGGTGGTGAAGGGCAAAGCTCCCTCAGTGGATAAGCGTTGCTGATACTTGCTTAGCTACTAGAATGTCTTCTCAGCCCCTTGCTGGGCCTGCCAGCCCTTCCCCATCCCCACACTCACATGTGCTGTGGAGCGTTGCTGTAGGAACCGTGTTCTAGTTTCTGCCACTTGCCGAGGTGGGCAGCTGATCTGTGGAGCAGGTCACAGTACTTGGGAGGCAGCAGCTGAGTCGTGAGCATGACAAAGGCATTGATCCACACCATGATGAGGTGCTCACAGGACCAGCGCATGTCGTAGTACTGGGTGCTCTGCAAAGAGACCAGACCAGAACTTGGCACCGCTGTCACAAAACAGAGGAGGGGAATGACAAGGGACGTACTGCGTGTGCATCCAGCAGACCCACACCACACATCACAGGCATGCGCTTTTGGACCGGTGATTTCAGAGGGTTACAGCTTAGGAAACGCTCAAGACTCCCTTCTCCTTGACCTGAAGGAGAAAGGGCAGGGGGATCCTGCTGCAGCTGGTGCATCTCCTCCTCCAGCAGCAGGTAACACGGGGGTCTGCTTGCCTCAGAACTGCCCCAGGAGCACCAATTGCACCAAGACTGCTACCCGTATTGTGGAGCCCTGCCCATTTCACTACACCAACTGGAGCTCGTTCAAGTTAGAAAAAAGACAGATTAAAAAATACAACCCCCACATATTGACAAGAGTTTCTTGGATTTAGCTTGCCAAGCATCCTAGTTGGCTCTGTTTTCTAACAGGCTGAACACCAAAGCCTCTGATCCAAGCACTCGAACGCCGGGATGTTGGATCTGAGACAGGTAGCAACAGGTTCCCTGTTCTTTGCCAGGAAGAACACAGCTATCCATCT